GAACCAGCCCTGACACATTCCAGGGTGAGGGAGAAGGGAATGGATCAGAGTGTCTGGGAATAATCTGGGGCTTCGGGCTGAAAAATGAGGAGATGATAAAAACACCAGGTCAGATTCTGAGCTAGTGTTCATTTTGTAGCTGTGTTCAATGTGTGTTGGATGGTTTGGTTCAGCTAACTGTGCCTCTGTTTTTCCAAGAGGCTGGAAAATCCTGCTATGGGCATGGAATTGCAGTGCTGAAAGCTGCCAAGCTTACCTTCCCCCCCCCCCCCCCCCCCCTTTTTTTTTTTGGTGACTAATGCAAAGAGGAAGGTTGGCTTACCTGCCAACAGCCTCTTGCATCCCTGTGCATGGCAGCAGGAGCAGGATGTGCTCCCATGGCACTGCTGGGCCATGGGGAGCTGAGCTTTGGGGGAGGATGGGGAGCTGTAAGGATGGGGAGCTGAGCTTTGGGTAAGCACAGGGAGAGAAGCTGAATTTATCCCCGTTGGCAGAGTGTGTGATATCCTGATGTTAACATCTGCAATGGCAATAGACGTCTGAGTTCTGTGATAAGGCAGAAAATGGGTAGAGAAATGGGAGGTCAGGACCCAAAGTGGGAAGGAAGGAGCCTCTCAGGCTCTTCCTCTCCACCTCCACTGCCACATGGTTTGTCCCTGGAAGCTCAGCTGGCAGCTGAGCAGTGCCAGCCCTGCAGGAGGTGCAGCCACAGCATGGTGTGAGCTCCAACACCTCCAGCCAGTCGGAAAGAACGGCTATTTTTAGCAGTAACATTTCCCCAGCAGAATTTCAAGGGCTGTTTCGTTAGGAGAGTGATGATGCTTTGAAGAGCAACCAGAACTTTCTGGCAGTCTGTTGGCCAGAGAGCTGGGGGTGTTCAGTCTGGAGGAGAGAAGCTCCAGGGAGAGCTCAGAGCCCCTTCCAGTACCTAAAGGAGCTCCAGGAATTGCTGAGAGGGACTTGGGACAAGGGATGGAGGGACAGGACACAGGGAATGGTTCCCACTGCTGTTTAGGGTTAGATGGGATATTGGGAAGGAATTCCTGTGAGGGTGTTGAGGGGCTGAGATGGAATTGCCAGAGCAGCTGTGGCTGCTCCATCCCTGGGAGTGTTCCAGGCCAGGTTGGATGGGGCTTGGGGCAGCCTGGGCTGGTGGGAGGTGTCCCTGCCCGGGGCAGGGTTGGAAGGAGATGATCTTTTTGGTCTCTTCCAACCCAAACCATTTCAGAACTGGGCTGCTTTCCTCTGCAGCCCTGGAAGGGCAGAGATTGCTGTGGGAGTCCTGCAACTCCTTTTTCCTTCAGCACTAAGTCCTCCCTTAGTCCTAGCAGAGTAAGGATGAGTGTGGTGTATTTTGCCATCAAGTCTCACATCAAGCTTTACTCTTTCCTTCATGGGCCTCAGCTTGCAGCTGAAAATGAGCTTCATTGTCAGTAATTGGTTACGCATTGGTGTCTGATTCATGTTTCACAGGTGTTTTTGAGGTTTCCCACATAAACTGCAGATTTCAGGAAGGTCAAACCCCCTCGAGACACACTGAGAGCAGCTCTTGGACCCTGCTCAGCTCCAGGGGTGTTAAACCTGCAGAGCAGTAGCTTTTCCTAAGAAAAAAAAGAGGAAAAAACTCTGACAAAACAGAAGCATTTTGTGCCTTTTGGCCAGGAATTGCTGCTGGAGCATTCCTCCTTGTCCCAGTGATGGGATGCCAAGATGCCCTTCCTGGGGCCGTTGGGACCAGGAGCTGTTGAGTCAGGATAATGCCAAAGCAATTATCTCTGTCCCCCACGTTGCCATGCTGGGAAGGACACCTGGTGCCCCTGTGTGCAGCTCTGGGCCAGCAAACTGCATCCCAGACACACAGAAAAGAGATTGAAGGAGAAATTTCTGGCATTGCTTTGGAGAGGGAGAGGAGCCACAGAACCTTTGCATGCCAAAACTGCCTCTGAAGGCTCTCCCAGGGTGGGGGAAGCTGTTAAAGGCTTATTAGGGAGCTGTGATTTGTCAGCTCTCAGCCAACTTGGGGAATGAAGTGTAATAAATAAGGGCAGGGCTGGGACTCTGTTCAAGGCCATTTGTTCTGAGATGCAGAAATTGCAAACAGGCACTTCCAGCTGGGACTTGGGAGGGCTGGAACTAATTGGAGGGTTATTAGAGGGGAGAATTAGGCAAAGCATTTATTGAGAGCTTTTTTCTGGCCTCCATCTACCTCATTATTGGTGCTGGAGGTCAGGTTGGATGGGCCGTGGAGCAACTTGGGCTGGTGGGAGGTGTCCCTGTCCATGGCAGGGCTGGAAATGGATGAGGGTGAAGGTCCTTCCAACCCAAATTGGTCTGGGATTCTGTTAGTGCTGGAATACTCCCAGGAGATGATTCCTGCAGTTGGAATATCAGCACAGCACTGCTGAGCTCAGAGGCTTTGCTGAGCGAAGGGAACGGGAAGGAAAAGGCAGAAAACAGCAGAGCTGGAGGCAAAGCTGGGCATTGATTTGTTGTCCCAGGGCTGATCCCCTTAGCAGTGGCTGGCAGCTGCCATGTATTCCCAGCAATGCTGGGATCATTAGTGGCTGCTGTTCGTCCTGAGAGGCTCCTAAATAGTTTGTGCCCTTGAGTTTGTAAGGGAATGAGCAAAATTGATATCCTGCAAACATTTATTTCTCCAGTGAGCTTCCAAAGGAATGGGACAGGATACACAGCTGGTAGTCTTGAGATTCAGTGGATACATTTCTTAAAGGCAATGGGAGGGATAAAATTCCTCAGGGATGTCCCCTGGCAGTGCCTGAGGGCATCTCCTGGGATGTGGATGCAGAAGGGGATAGGGATGTGGATGCAGATGCAGGAAGAGGATGGGGATTCAGATGTGGATGTAGATGCTGTTGTAGATGCAAAAGGGGATGGGGATTTGGATGCAGATAGGGATGCAGGCAGGGATGAGGATGTGGATGCAGGAGGGGATAGGGATTCAGATGTGGATGGGGATGCAGAAAGGGATTCAGATGTGGCTATGGACACAGTTTCTAGCCTGCCTTGTCCACTGTTCCCCTTCCCGTGCCCTGGCAGTACTGCTGACCCCTGTGTCCCTCCCAACATTTCACTCCCACAGCTTCCTTCCTTTGGCATTGCCTCCACACACAGGATGTGTCTGGATGTGGCAGGGGTGGCCCCGGTGGTTCCCTCCCTCAGCAAACCCTGGGGCACAGCCAAGTCGACACAGAATTGTCTTTTATTCTAGGCAGAATGATTTGCATTTCAAGCAGTTTGGTCTCTAAAGCACAAGGTCAGCAGGGTTAACCAGCCATCTGCTCCACAGCAGCACAGCTCCTGCTCCAAACCCACTTCCCACCCTGCTGGGTCCCTGCTGAGGTCCTGCTCAGAGCAGCTGCAGAGGGAAGGACACAGTGGAAGAAGAACTCATTCAAATGACCCATTTCTCTCCAGGTTTCAGGGATTTTCCTAGGCCTAAACTGTGGGATTGCTGCCACTTCTAGGGAGCAGGAACGTGTGGTGACAGGGGCAGAACACACTGGGATGGACAAATGCTGGGGAATGGTTTGGGCTCTGGGAATGCTCCTACAGGTGTGTGGGAGCAGATTGGATATCTATATATCCAATATAAACTGGATTTATATTTTTCTGCTAAGAGACAAAGTGTAAAACTGAGTGTTATGTCTTGTGATCTGCTCTGGTGTATCATCAGCAGCAATCACAACACTCTGAGTCCATCAGCAGTAACAGAAAGTGCAGTAACATGGAATTTTCCTGACTGTGAGGCACCAGGAGCATCCTATCTCTGCTCCCTCTTGCTCCAGCCCTGCTGTTGCTTTTCTGGTGCTTTCCAAAGTTGCCTTCGCTTTCCTCCTGGCTCACAGGCATCTATGCCAGCAAGGCAGAGGATGTGTTTGCAGAGGTGGATTTAGCTTCCTGAAACCCAAATGTCATCTTTCCACGTTGCTGTATGGAGGATAAAATGGCAACTTCATTCTATTTACAGATTGCTGCAGAGAGCAGTTAAAAAATAGGAGTAAAAAAAGAAGCAGCAGGGTTTGTTCTAGAAGCCTCCAGTGAGTCATCATCATCTCCTTCTGATTTCCAAGCTTGGATGGGTCAGGGTGGCCAAGTTTGGGTGCTCAAAAGGTCTTTTCTCCGTGGTGGGAGGCAGTGGAGGAAGAGGAAGGGCAGTGTTGTGCCTCTTAGTCATATCTCTTCTTCCCTGCTAGTGTTTGGAGCTTGGATGTGAGCCTGGCAGTGCTGGATCTGGGAGCAGATTGCTGGGAAGCCTCGAGAGAGGAATCACTGTCTTTGTTAGGACTCACTGAGGGGTTGGACGGTGCTGGCACAGGCTTGGTTCGTGCATGGACACTGGGTTTGTGTGTTTATCAGTATGATAAAAATAGGGGATGACTTAGGAGTCCTCTCAGATGTGCCATGTCCAGTTTGGCAGTACAATCAGCAGCTCTTGCTGGTTTGATCCCAGGGTTGTCAGGGAGCTCTGTACGTCCCTTTGTCAGCAGCAGCTGCAGAAGCCAAAGGCTCTATAACAGCAGATGTGAGTTACTCAGTTCTGCTCTTGGCTCCTCTCACCATGAGGGTGATTGTGGAATCACAGAGTCAGGGAATTAAGGTTGGAAAAGACTTTAAGATCATCAAGTCCAGCCATCAACCAGCAGCACCACCATGGCCCCAGGTGCCACATCCACATGGATTTTAAACCCCTCCAGGGCTGGTGACCCCACACTGCCCTGGGCAGCCTGTGAAGGGCTGGACAACCCTTCCCATGGAGAAATTGTCCCTAATACCCCACCTGAACTTCCCCTGACACAACTTGATCTCCCACCAACTTGAACCCATTTCCTCTATTAAATGCTGAGCATGCTGATGCATTTTCTTTTATCCATTTAAAACCATAAAATTAATTTCACTGGATCATTCAAACCCCCCCAAGATTTCTGTGCGTCCCCAATTATCCCCAAGTAGTGAAAGCTTTTCTCCCTTGATTGTTGCAGGGATGACATGCCAAGCCAGGACATCCTACACCGAGGACGAGGTGCTCTGGGGTCATCGCTTCTTCCCCGTTATCTCCTTGGAGGAAGGGTTCTTCAAGGTGGATTACTCCCAGTTCCACGCCACCTTCGAGGTGCCAACCCCACCCTACAGCGTCAAGGAGCAGGAGGAGATGCTGCTCATGTCCTCGCCCTTGATAGCCCCTGCTGTGAGCAACAGCAAGGAGAGGAACAACTCGGTGGAGTGCCTGGATGGGCTGGATGAAGTGGGCACAAAACTGCCCTCAAAACTGCAGAAAATGACTGGGAGGGAAGACTTCCCCAAAAAGCTCCTGAGGATGAGCTCCACCACCTCGGAGAAGGCCTACAGCATGGGGGACCTGCCCATGAAGCTGCAGCGCATCAGCTCGGTGCCCGGCAACTCGGAGGAGAAACTGGTGTCTAAGACCACCAAGATGATGTCAGACCCCATGAGCCAGTCGGTGGCCGAGCTGCCCCCCAAGCTGCAGCGGCTGTCGGGCGGGGGCAGGATGGAGGGCAACCTGCCGCCCAAGCTGCGCAAGATGAACTCCGACCGCTTCACATAGCCCGCGGGGCCGGAGGCGCCGAGAGCT